ATCGGTACTAGCTTTCTGGACGATCCAAAACAAGTATTGAGATATCAAATTTAAAACACTAAAAATCATACATTAAAACATCATTTCCTTTACTACTAGAAATATCTTTCCCACAATGCCCAGCAAGTTAGCAGGAGTTTTTCGTGAACTGAAACAATTTAAAATTTTATATCAATGACAATGTTTCGCTACCACTTTATGCATTGTGGAGAGATGAGTTGGACGTCGATTACAGTAATCGATTACAATTGTAATTGATTGCAGATAATTACTGCAATGTAATCAATTACTTGTTAACGATTACAGGTAACTGCATTTACAAGCAATCATAATTTTTGATTACATTAGAGAAGGGAAAATGTAATCGACTACATTTCTCAATTACTTTTTATCATGATTACAAATTTTGATTATAACTGTAATCATTATTACAATACTCAGTTACAGTAATCAAAATTATAAAAAGTTGCAATCACGATTACAAGTAAATGATTACTGTAATTGATTGTTGTAACCACGATTACAGCTTTAATCAAAATTATGTTATCTTGTAATCATTGATTACAGTAAATGATTACTGTAATCGATTACATTTTTGCCCAACTCTGGTGGAGAGTTAAGACTTATGAGTTAACATTTATGATCGGGAATTTTTTTTAAAGTGAAGGAAAAAAATTCGATAGTATCATGTTGTACCTTAAACCAGTTATCCTCAATTGAAATTTTTGTCTAAAGGGTGCGACAGAGTTTATCCACAAAATATATAATATTGGCCATCAAAAATCAACACTTCGAAATTTAAAATTTGTGTTTTAATAACTCGCTATTACATTAACTTGTGATAAATAGTTGCTATATAGTAATATCACAACATATATATTTTAAATAAAGTAGTGCTTGTTTTAATTTGAATAACATTTTTAAGTACTTAGACTGCTAAAGATCAATAGAAAAAAATACAATGCATTTCTCTCAAAATTTATAAGTTATTTTATCAATTACATTTTGCATAAAATAAGAAAAACAAGGCCCTAATTATTTCAAAAATACTCAAAAAGCTATAAGATAATCATGAAACTTTTTATCAAAAACCTTATTAAACGAAATTTATATGAGTAATCCTTTAATATAGTCTTTCAAAAGATATCACCATGAATTAAATTATGATGAACATTTTGATTTATTTTATTAATTTAGCTTTCTCAAACGCTATTTTTTACTTAGAATAAGATATATGCTGCATTGTTCTTAGCTGATCCTATTGTAATAATTCGTAGTTGGTTACATCTTTCGAAGAATATATTCTTTAGTGGAAATAATGGTTGAAATTGAAGGCCACCAATTGTTCCTTTTATTAGGAAATACTTCAACAGTCAGTTGCTTAAATCTAGAGCCGGCTATTGTTTAGTTTACACAATACTCTATAAGGCAACAATTTTATTTTAACACAGTTTTCTTCAATAATCTACATTTCAATTTAACTTAAAAAATCATTATCATTATTTTTACACAACTTACCATTAGCTAATTTCTATTTGTTTTGGAAATTTATAATCATTATTTTGATATAGATTTCTAAAATACACGTATCTATTAATTTGCACAATTCTTTACCATCTAGGTTTAAATTAAATTTTGAAACATTCTGTAACTAGTAATGTTTAATAGCAGTTACAATATACAATATAATGTAAATAAAGCATACAATTATAATATATAAATATAATTAAATTTATATTTATATATATATATTAATTATAAATAAATAGTGGTAGTCAAAACTTATTCACTTTTAGTATTCTTTCAGTACTACTATTAGACAACAGTTTTTTGTTGCAAGAATCACCGGGGAAATTTTTTTCCCCTTTTCATGAAAGATCTGAGATAGTTCTGTTTCTCTGATTTCAAATCTGCAATTTATTTTCTTCGACAAGCTACAGTTCTCATACAATTTAGAAGTATATTCAAAACCTGAATTGTTTAAAATTGTTACTTTACTGTTCTGCTACTTAGGAAGTGGTTGGAATAAGACGATAATCTAGAGAGAGGTAAAGTATATGAAGAGAGAGTCAAGCATAGAAGTAAAACGTCCCTACTTCTCTGCTACTTAGGGAGTAGTAGGAATAAGGCGATAATTCACTTCTGCTTATAATGTGATGCGTTAAAGTTATATGTTTTTTTTTGATCTTAAGTGTTATTTTTAAAGAAGTAGAAAAGTATATATGAATATATATATATATATAAGTTCAAAATGAAGTTAAAACAAAGGGAAATTACAGACGTATGAAAAAAGAGGAAAAAAGAAAAATAATAACAAAAATAACAAAAAACTGGAGAAANCGGTACAAAGCTAATTTCAGATTTGAAATCCCCTCTCCCGAATGAGGTAAGACGAGTACTTGTATAAATGCAACAAGAAATTTGTTCCCCAGTTTAATCTATTAAAGTTATTTTATCAATTCAAACTCATATGAGAACGTACATTTGTTCAGAATTTACGAACAAATAAATGAGATTAATCTTTAAATCCATCCTTTTCTAAAAGAGTTTATGAATTATGTTAAAAATAAATTTCAATAAATGATTAATAAATTATTCTACCAAATATTCATTTATTAATTATTTAAAATTAACTCATTTAAAAACTGTTATATACTGTTGTGTTGCTTCCTATAGAAATTCTGTTTTTTATGTATCAAATTATGAACTTATTCATGCAAATAATATTGAAAGTTATATTAATTTCATTAGTATAATTACCTAATTAATGAGAGAAATCAGACGATTTTCCTAAAAAATGTGTTTTCCAACAAATATAACAGTTTATACAATTTAATTATGAATCAAATACTTGCTCAATAAATTAATATTTATAACTGCTATGCTGGAAATTAACATTGAAAGTAATATTTCGTTATTATAATTACTCAATTAATGAGAGAAATTCAACGATTCTCTTAAAAAATGCGTTTTCCAGCAAATGTACCAGTTTAAACAATTTAATTATGAATCAAATACTTGCTCAATAAATTAATATTTATAACTGCTATGCAGGAAATTAACATTGAAAGTAATATTTCGTGATTATAATTACTTAATTAATGAGAGAAGTGCAACGAGTTTCTTAAAAAGTGTGTTTTAAAACAAATGTAACAGCTTATACAATTTAATTATGAATCAAAATACTTGCTCAATAAATTAATATTTATAACTGCTATGCAGGAAATTAACATTGGAAGTAATATTTCGTCATTATAATTACTTAATTAATGAGAGAAATGCAACGATTTTCTTAAAATATACGTTTTCCAACAAATGTAACAGTTTATACAATTTAATTATTAATCAAATACTTGCTCAATAAATTAATATTTATAACTGCTATGCAGGAAATTAACATTGAAAGTAATATTTCGTGATTATAATTGGTGAGAGAAATGCAACGATTTTCTTAAAAAATGTTATTTTCAACAAATGCAAAAGTTTACGCAATTCATTTATAAAGCAAATAACTATAAAATTAATGCATATAACTAATATGCATGAACTAGTTTAAATAGCTTAATTTGTACATATTACTCCATTAAAATGATTTAAATACTAATTTTTTCAAACTTTCACATTTTTGTAATTATTCCTTTTAGGAATTAATATTTAAAATTTTATCAAATATAGGTATTTTAGTAAGTTGGGTTGAAGAAAAATAAGTATAGAATAAATTTAAAATCTAATCAATGAAATAATAACCAATACCAATTATTAATTTCTATTTTAAGTCCTGTAAAGCGTTTTGTTACAAGAAAAGCTAATATTTACTGCTAGCTTCTTTATATTAAAAATTAGTATATGTAAATGAAAAATTTCAATTTTTCAAAATAATTATTAAAATTTAGTTAATATTCAAAAAACTTTTATATTTTTGAAAAGTCGCAATTTGTTATCAGCTAAGTATTATATTTATCTAATTATTATATTTAGTTAAGATAAAAAAAAAACTTTTATATTTTCAAGAAGTCGAAACTATGTAAAAGTATCAGCCAAGTTTTGTATAAAATATAATTATGTATAAAATATATTTTGTATATCAAATATAATTAAATCAACCTTGAAAGATTGATTTAATTATATTTGAATTAAAACAGCGAATAAAAATAGTTGCTTTTAATTTAATTTCATTACTCATCACATCAGTAAGTGAATTTTATTACTCATATCAATATACGTCGAATTTAAATAAATTAACTTAATACACCAAATTTAAATAAATTAACTAGATTTTCCTTATCCGCCAATCTTCTGAAATCTTACTTATCAGAGACAAAATATCTTATCAGTGCAAGAAATATTTTAAAAATTATAAATAAATTTTATAAAAAACAATTTCCAAATAAATAAAAATTTTATAATAGAATAATATTATAAAGCAGTTCTACTATATATTTCTATAAATTTTATAACAGGCCCCTAAAACATAACTTAACTCATTTTTTATCAATAATTTCTCGAATTAAAAACTCTGTTCATTTATGTAGAAGTATACGCGTAGCCAATTTATAAATACGCATAAAAAATCTAATGATAATGTTTCTTTTTTTCTTATACATATTATCATTTTTTAAATAAAAATTTCATCAAGTAATGGTAAAATCCATTTTTTACCTAACGAAAAAAAGATTTAAAAATTTTTTTCATTAATTACTTTTCCGAATTAAAAAATCCGTTTTATAAGTAAAATTTGGATTTTTTTATACGCATATTTGATTAATAAGCATGTTCAGTAATAATAATAATTAATAGAATAATTCCACTCCTGATTCAAATAATTCTAATAAAGCCAACATTTTTACCTCAAGGACGAAGAGGTTACTGAAGAAAAAAATGAACTACTGCACAAATATGGTGAAATTAACTACATGTAAATAAAGTGTGTATTTTGAGACTTAATTACAAATCTAAACTCATAATCAATTCAACATAAAGAAAAAGTAAAATTCGCTTACCGGATTGGATGCAATCTAAAAGTGTGGCACCAAGTGCTGTTTTCTTATCTTTGCAGGCATCAAAAACTTCTTTAGTAAGGTATTTCTTCAGCAAAGACTTGCAGTCGGTAGCGGCCTGAAGCTTCTGAAAGCCGGCTTCCAATTTATCTTTAGTGGCTTGATCAACCATGGCTCCTGACTTAGAAATAAAATACACGAATGAGAAAAGTAACCGAGCTTGCAAGAGCTTCTTCACCAAAGGCAAAGTAGGAATCATTTGGGTTTTATTTATAGAATTTATGGCGAGGGCTTATGGGTAAATTTTCCCAATCAAGTTCGTCACCTGATGTCTTGGAACAATGTGAGAGTATTTTTTTGTTGTTTACTTTATGGTTTAGGCGCCTTTGTCTTAACAACTTAAATTTTAATTCAAATATGCATGGCAGCTTAATGTGCTTATACTATAGATATAATTTTATCATCAATAATTATAGAATGTTTCAGAATTTGATTTGAAAATTATAAGACATCGTATAATAGAATATTTAAGTAATATTTTGTTTATTTACAAATATAAGAAAAGGAGTTCGAAAAATTTATTTTCCTACATAGTTTTTTAAATTCTTTTTTTAATGTTTTTTTCTGATTTACTTCACGGCGAGAAATTAACAGCAAACTTACTTAAAAGAACGATAATTTTAGTAATTTTTGATCTATTTTGTTAAAAATTTTAAAAATTCCTTGCAACCTTAATATGGTGCCACGTTTAACCTAACCAAATTACACCTTCTTAAACTTAATAATATAATTCATACTCGAAATTCGATTCAATTTTACACCTTATTGAGGTTGATATAAATTTGCTCTGTATTATGGTTCAAGTTACCATTATTATGGTTCAACGTTGGACTGATTTTTCTGAGTGTGTCAATTTTATAATAATTTTAATATTATTTTAAAATAATTAAAACTTTTAACGATGGGGAAACTTTTTTAACGTAAAAGAAAGATAAAAACCAATGAAGTTGACATGAAATCTATGAATAAAGCAATTTCGCATTCTCATTCGTGTTTAATGTTACGCTATAACGCAAAAATTGCTTAAAATATTAATTATAATAACTCTTGAATTAATTAATAAATAATAGCTTAGATTCAAGTAATGCTGAGGATCTTAAGGTATTTGTAGTTGATTTCTTTATGTCGTTTTTTTAAAAATAAGATTAAACATTTCACAAAAGAGCTTTCATTTTTTATTTACAAGTAATCAGAAGGATTTGGGGTACAATAATAAAAATGTATTGCGAGGATAATATAGTTATTAGCTACAGATTTTTTAAAAATCAATTACGACTTTTTTTACATCAGACTGCTCCTTATCATTTTCAGATAAGAATTTTACTAGTTTCCATGATTTTCATTTGATTACAACACAATACACAGATACATCTTATTGCTTACAAGTAAATTGTAGTTTTATTCGTCAAAAAGTCCCGCTTGAACAATTTTAAAATATGTCTTATTATACTGTCACAAAGCCTTCAACTAAAGTATCTTATGACTTTTTTTGACAGCTTATTAATAGCTGTTTTAAATTGAGTTATTGAGATTAAGAAAAGTATTATGATAATTTGTAAACATAAAATATAAACTTCGAAATAAAATACTTTTTTTTAATAAAAAAAACATACTTTGTTAAAAGTTTTCGGTCATTTTTCTGAAGATTACTTTTTTCATGTAATGGCATTAGATGACATTTTGTATAGACATGTGTGCTTTTCCAATCATGATTTGTAAAGATATCTATAATATCTTCAATCTGATATAGAACTTCATATTAGATTTAGAGTCTGTTTGTTAAACAATGGACGCAATAAAAATGCAATTCAAAAACCAGAAAGAAGTGTGGGCATTTCTTTCTTTTTCAATGCTTATTGTGTTATTCAGAAAAAAAATTACGGTAGAAAAAAAATCTTTTGTACTTTCAAAATGAAAGACAGTTTTTATTTTTTAAAAAAAGCGAGATAAATTGAAATGGGCTTCTGGTTGTGCAGATATAAATCACGGTTCAATTCTTTACGCCTCAATGTTTTGTTTGAAATTAAAATTGATTTTAATAGACTATAAAATGTTCTGAATTGCACAGGCAAAAATTTATATTATGGGAAGATCTATTTTTCTTTTTCTTCATTCAAATTTTAGTACTAAATTATCTTCTATATGCATGAATAGTTTTCGATTTGCATAAATATAGTATTAGGGTAGTTTTTATTTTCAGGAAAGAAAGAATGGTCACGTAAGCGCGTCATTTTCTATTTATTAAACCAGGATAATTCTATCTATCTATCTATCTATCTCATGGTGGGGTCCCCCCTTAAGTTAAAACATTCAATTGCTTAGGAAAGGTGACTCATTCAGAATTTTCTATCATCGATACGTTTTACCGGTGGATTTGAAAGATGGAATTTTGAAAGATTTCCCAGTAACTTTAGCTCCGATGCAATTAGGACAGTGTTTCCCAGAGTGTGGTTCGCGTACCCCCAGGNTATATATATATATATATAAAACTGAAGTAGATAATATAACCTTAATTTAAACATTCAGGAATAACCTATTTTTTCAAAAGCACTCTTTTTTTTATCAACACAATAATTAAAATTTTGGCATCATTGAATAATTTAGAATCAGGAACATAACTATTAGTTAGAATAACTAAAATTGAAAAAAGTGCTGACAGTTAAAATTGAAAATTTTATTTAAAGAAATTAAAATTAGCAACTTTTAAAATCACTTTTTTTTATTACAAGAACTGACGGCAAAAAATGTTTATATATGAATAATATGAAATGTAAGTCGTAATGGTAGATACGATTGAATAATTAAAAAGATAATAGAGGTTCTTTTTTGCTCTTTAACAATTTTTTTTGGCTTCGGAACCCTAAACGATCAACCTACTTTTAACTAACGGAATTTATAAATAAACATATTAACCAAAAAAAGCCTATTAAATATTTTGTAAATATTTTCATTGTCTTATCAATAATACTTTTTAATTGATTTTTTAATTGTTGAAATGAAATCGCAGGGCTAGAGTGTCGTCTTGTACTGATCACAAATTCTGAATTGTAGTTTTTTGTTAAAATGGAAAGAAAGCATTTTTAAACGTTGAAAATGTTTGTTCGGTAAATTTAAATTTTTGAATTGAAACGTGCGATGCGAAATACTAATACAACTTTTTTAAGAAGTATATTTTCTTTGCATAATTTACTTTCTGTTATTAAAAAAAATAAATAATTTTTAAATTTCGTTATTTTTTCACTGGCAATTTTCTTTTCTAATTTCTTAAAAACATCTGAAATATTAAACAAACAATGGGTTATTGATTGGATATAAATATAATTACATTTTTCGAAATTCAATAAATGTAATATATTCAATAATTACTTCTTCAATATCATTATAAGTTTTAAAAAAAAGCCCTAACTCCCGGAACCCTGCGGTTCCACTGAACACATGTCGGGAACAGCTGTTCTCTATGTAACTACGAATTCGTCGTAATCAAATAACGTAGTTATTTTTAAAATATGATAAAACTCCCCTTTTGTCATGTTTATGAAGTGTTTATTTTCTTACCTTTTTTTAGTGGGGCAACAACTATTGTAGTTCTTTACTTTTTTAATAACTACAAAAAACGTTATTTAGAAATTTACCCATTCAATAATGTAATAATGAACTCAATCCTTTGATTTATTTTATGTTTCCAAATAAAAATTAACAAATAAAAAAATATTACAGAGCTTTTCCATGTTTAAGCAAATTTATATAAGGCTTTAGTTTTTTTTTCTTTGCCTAGCAATTCAGCAAATGGTTGTAATGGTTGTTGGCTTTGTTGAGCAATACAGCAAATGGTTGTAATGGTTGTTGTAATGGCTTTGTTGAGCAATACAGCAAATGGTTGTAATGGTTGTTGTAATGGCTTTGCTAAGCAGTACAGCAAATGGTCTATTAACCTGTTTTATCCCGACTTTATACATAGTGATACCAAAAGTGGCTTTGAGAAAAAAGAGGTGTAATATGTTATATAAATTAGTTGGCTATTTCTTACTGTTAGCCACCTTTTCACTCAAAATGTCCCCCAATAGTTTAAAAAGTTAATTTCAAAACGTCCATGCTTTTCATAATTTGAGATCTAGTACGCATAGCTAAATCTTTCATAAATTACTGACTTCTAATTCATTCTGACTAATGATAGTAGTCGAAAAAAATGTCCTACCACAGAGAATGCTTTTGAAAAACGAAACTTTAATAAAAATAGGACGATGGCCGCAAACCGGTTAAGTTAGTTGACACTAGTTACACATCTTGTTTAATCCATTACCAAGATAGTTCAATGCTTAAACCTCGAATTAAGATATCTATTAGTTAACAATATAAAAAGAAAAATCTTATGCAATGGTAAAAAAAAATTATGTTCCTAACGCTTGCTTTAAAATTGAGAAGATAGAAAACTTTAAGAAAGAATAAAATAAATTGCTAGATTTTTTTAAAATTTAAAATAACAAAAATTTTTACATTACAGCACAATTTTTATTTAATTTGCTTTCAAAATTTGTATAAAGTTACGAATTAAAGTTTAGCAAGCGTTGACGAAACAACGCAAATATTTTTTTTCTCCAATGCCCACCTTTTAGAATGACCCACCTGGGCATCATACAGGCATCTGAAGGGCAGATTTGTTGGCCACTCTTTCAGGGGCACCTTATTAGGTGGGCCAACGTTGCTCCCACAGTAAGGACAGATAGTACTGAGAAGGAAAGAACATCCATGCCTTGCCCGGGATTCGAGTCCTTAACCTTTCTGATACAAGGGCAGTTCCCTAACCCCTACTCAGGCAGCACCTCCTACATCAAGAAGCCTCCGCACGGTCTTTTATAAGTAGTCCGCGCAGACTGTTTTAAAAGTGAACCAGTTGTGCGCATGAACCCAAAACCTTTTATAAAAGTAATTGAGAGAAATTTATCTTATATATTTGATAATTGAATCTGTAGTGATTGACAAGTGAATAAGGCAGACCAATAATATTCATAAATAAAAAAAATTTTTAGTCATATATTTGGTACCACTTTCTTATTTTAACTATATTCTGTATTAAATGACTCGTTCGATAAGTGGATATCCTTCATAGTGGTCTGATCGGACTACCTATAAAAAACCGTGTGGAGGCTTTCAGTTATAGGAGGCGTTGACGCAAATATTTACAAACGAATTTTTTCTTAGTGTTGTTAAAATAAT